TGCACTCTCGTGGTGAGTAGCGGTCAGACTTGGTATGCAGAGAATACGTTAAAGGCTTGTGGTCAATGAATAAGATGGAATGTCGACTTTCTACTGAGTGCCGGAAATGTTTGGTGGCACAGTAGGCTGCTAGCAATTCTCGACCAAAAGCGCTATATTTCGTCTCCGTGGCATTGAGACGTCGTGAGGAAAATTCGAAGGGTTGACAGCTTCCGGAGATGTTTTGTTGCATACTAAGCGTGGCTTATGAGTCCGGATGAGCGAGGAGCCAGACTTGCGCCAGAGTCGTTTTGACCTCTAGAAATGCAGTACGCGCGCCATCGTTCATTCTTAATTTGCGTGGATTTCCGCGAAGTAAGTAGGGTAATGGTCGTAATCGTTCTGTTGCGCAAGGGATGAAACGTCAGTGGAAGTTAACCAAGCCAAGAAATGCCTTCAGTTTTTTTAGTGTTGACGGCACGGTGTACTCCATTATTGCACGTACTTTGTCCTCACAAGGTCAAATACCTTCCTGCATAATAATGTGACCTGGGAATTTTAATTCCAGTTTACCTAGTTCATGTTTGTCCGGATTGAATATTATTCCATTTTCCGAAAGGCGCTAGAGTTTTAGATGCTGATACTGTTCATCTACGTTTGATGATGCGATTAACAGGTTATCAATAGAGACATGAACAAAATCTAAGTCTCGTACTATGCTTTCGATAAAACTTTGAAAAGTTCGAACAGTATTCCGTAATCCAAACTGCACTCGTGGGAATTCAAACAGACCGAAATGAGTCGTGATAGCAGTTATCGTGATATCTTCCAGAGTGACCGGGTTCTGATGATGTGCTCCTACAAGATCAGTCTTAGAAAAAATAACCGTGTCCTTGAGTGATGCTGTGTATGTGGAGGGTGGGGAAGCAATCAAGACGTGTAGCTACGTTTAGTGCTCGGTAGTCACCTGACGTTCTCCAACTAACCCCACCGTTTTTGCGAACCATGTGGAGAGGTGGGGCCCAGGGAATGTAAGAACGAATAATACTAGTAGCAAGTAAAACGTAAATCTCACTTTTAGCGAAGGGGTCAGGCTGAGGGTCAGGGTGGTAGTGAGTATCTGAAGACATTTGACTGATTAAAACCCTAATATTAAATATTATTAATTTCACCGCGCTTTTGGATGTATTTATTTCACTCAACTTCTGAACTTGTTTGTTTATATCACTATTTTCGGACATTTTGGCTTCTTTTTGTCTGTGGTTTGGTATTTGTGAGTTTTTGCTACGGGAACCTACAAAATTCAAGGTTGTTTTGTAATTGTTATAATTATTGTTGTTAGAACGATATTTGGGTGAACTCTTTGTAAATTGCAAATGAACGTTGGTACCTAGATTGAAGTTTGGTTCTATTGTTAATTTGGGTTCGTAAATTGAAAATAGATCGATGTACCGTACTTGAACAACGGGAACGAGCAAACTCGTGGACGTGACAATATTCACCTGGTAACAAGTAACTAATCAAAGATTGAGAATAACGGTCACATAACAACCGTCTTTATCACCATTTGTGTAAAACATATGCATGATACTCATAATCGATGTGCTACTGTTTCTGTTTCTTTCTAGCTCCTAAGATCCGAACTGTAGGCATTTATCATCGGTCCAAATATATCCACATTGACTTACTTTTCTTACCGTGAATTTTGTTGACAGAAAACCATCGTAATTTGAAAGCAATTGATGTGGAAAAATATTTTCACCCCTCAAGCCGCATTTCAGTGAAATTCATAATACTCACACAGGAGCCAACAAAAGTTCGAGTAAGATGATGAATTAAATGCTTCCTGGTTTAAGAAATTTTACTTGCATTTTTGACAAGATTCATCATCTATTGTTTTATTTTCTCTGGTTGAGAGTTTAGATGTAAACTTATGTCCTTTAGTTTTCAATTTCGGTTTGGAAAGAACATCAGGCAATGTGGCCTATGTTGGTCCTGATAATGGTGGTCTCTCAGTTGATCAAACGTTCTTTTGAATGTATCGACAGCTGGCGGTAATGAATTTGATTAGTTGATGATTCGATGGGAATGTCGATAGTTAGCCGAAAAGTAATTTGTTATGAGCTTGTAAACATTTTTAGAGTTTCCTTGTAAATTCTCTGTTTTTTAATTCAAGAAAAATGAGGGCATATCGCATTAAAATTTATCACTAAGTAATTTAAAACAATGATCAAGTCACTTCTGGTCCTTCGATAATCATAATGAAACCAGGTTTAGATAAGCCAGTCGAGCATCATACGGGAGCTTTGTTATCCTAGGAATCAGCTTAGTTACAGTTCATTGAAACTTTTCCGTCAGCTCACTATCTTTATTAGGCAGGAGCTAGCCTTTTATATGTAGTACTCGAGTTTAGGGAGAGCGAGTACCGTATACAACGTCAAAAAATGTCTCATTCGTACTTTCTGAGGCTGCAGTCTCATCCGAAGTCATGGGTGGCATGGTCTGCTGATCTGGACGTCAGACTTAAGTCTCGTCCGTAGATAGTGCAGATGACACGCGCTGTTGACAAAGACGTGAGAACAAGGTCTCTGATGTATCTAGCGTGTGGTCCGAAGTAGATGTGCAAGTCCCACTAGCAATATAATAATAGAATAGTGATATAATAAATTTCTTCGCAAACACTCCATTTTTACAGGCATGATCTATAGATTACAACATTTGTTGGCTCACAGCATGCTTCCCAACTTATTAAGTTTATCGTTGTTATAAAGTATACTCGTACAGTGTTTGCTGTAAACCATGACCTTGAGGGGACGCGTGTGTCAAGTTTTTTCCAGACGCCAGAAGTCCCATAACTGTGCGTTCGGAGCAAGATTCTGAAGAAAGAAAAAGAGAAACAGAAGAGCGGTAAAGCACTTGGATATGAACGCCAAACTTTGCTTGACATTGTGTAGTAGAACAGACAGAGGTATAATAAATTAGATTAAACTCATATTTTCTCTTTTTGGAGTGAAATGTATTCAGAAGCTCCATATAAGAGAATGTAGTAATAAAGAACAATGAGTTGTGTCGTTTAACATGTTGGAGTAAGCTCACATGAAGGAAAGGAAATCAAGGCTGGTTCAAGGAAGGCGGGTTATTAGAAGGGTGTGTATATAGAGGGTGACGTGTTAAGAATACTAATGACTGTATCTTTTGTTGTCTAACGTTTTTTGTTTATCCGATGCCAGCCACACAATTCTAGTGTAAAAGTACGAGTTAGCATGTTATAGGTTGTCTTAGTAGAATAGCTAATCCAGCATGAAATTGGAAACATGAGTCTGAGTGGTGGTCGTAGGAAGACAATCTATATCACAGATTGATTGACTCGTTCCCAATCATAAAAAGCCTGATACATACAAAATGTTCTGCCCCAACAAACATGGGTAGATTAAAGTCGTCGCCCTCACCATCAATGCTTGCTGGTCAGCAACTTCACCCTCCCTCCTTTTGTGATGTTGGGCTCATTTAAGCTTATTTTTGGATATATGTCATACCTCACACAATCCTCTGTGTTTCATATCCTGTTGGAAATCACTATTTCTATAAGTAACACTTTACAAGATTATCAGGCAGTTACAAGCTATGGCATATTCGTAAGGCATCGATGCAGTGCTTTAATTGACTATAGTATAAAGTATAGTTTGTTAGAGAATAAGCATTAAGAAGGTTGTAATGTAAGATAGTTGTTTATTACAGCAGACGGAAAAGTATAGAAGTATATGAGTTGTAGACAAGGTAACGAGTGGAGAAACTATATTAATTGCTATTCAACATAGTGTACAGAAGAGTAATAGGCTAATAGAGAATAAACAGGAAGAAACTCACGCTAACTTGGTGCTGATGTTATTTTGTGTTGTCCTAACCAGTTGATGGGTAACAGGCCACATTGATACAAGACCACTGATAGTAGGCAGTAGATTGTGCGGTTCTCTTGACTTTTTAGGGTAGTAATGAGTGTTACTTAGCGACCGAGCTTAGTTGAACAGTATCGATAGGTCGAGTGAGTTACCTGTCTACTTCAAGTGGAAAAATAGGGTGTTGAAATTAACTGGTACAACTGCGAAGTAGGAAAAATAAATCAAACTGAACTTGAAGTCCATTTTGGTCTAGAAATGGAGAGAGCCTATGATGTATGTGTGGGGTGCAGATGTGTTCGTACGTACTAGACCAGTGCAATTGAGGTCTTGATCAAGCAGTTTTACCAACGTATGTAATTCACCTGCCATGCATATTTCGGAAGGAAGACTGTCCCATATTATTGCAATCTTGATGTGGAAGACGTTTTCCCGAGTTTTTGATCTGTATTTCTCAACCTTTACCGTAGATACTTTGTTTCGAAGTTCGTATTCATGTGAATCTTGGCCAAGAACTATCTCAAATGTTGAATAAGTAAGGTTTTTGGGTAGTTTGAAGTAGAGAATCAAATTAGACCTATGCCTTTTCTCCCAACGGGGTGCTATTCCTAAGATTTGGCATCGGGAACTGCAGTCAATGACTGAGTCAGTTTTTAGTATTTTGCGGGTGAAGTCTCGTTGTATTCCTTCCACCTTTAGTATATCAGATAGGCGTAGGTTGGAAAATAAGAACGAGCAGTATTCAACGATAGGTCTCACACAAACTTTGTAAAGAAGGATTTTCGATTCATTTTGGTAGATATTACGGAGAATGAAGCCAAGAAATTTCCGCATTTTAGATGCTTTGGCTGAGATGTGTTCAGAGAAAATAAGATTGTGTGAGTAATGTACCCCTAGGTCAGTTACTGATGCCAGTCTGGGCAGTGTGTGGTTGTTAAGTGTTAGTTTTATTTTAAGATACGTGTCTCGCATACACAAGCCGCCGCTTTTCTCTGGGTTGTGTTCTAACCTCCAGCGTTTGCACCAGTTATCTACCATGTTGAGTTCATGTTGGATTGTTTACATAGTACTACGTACATCGCAAATGTCAGTTTAATAGATGACTTTTAATTCGTCAGCGTAGAGGTAGGTCTTACCTGTGCTAAAACACTTGCATATATTGTTGATGTAGATTATAAAGAGCAATAGACCCAAGAAACTACCCTGCTAAATGCTACTGGTCATTGGTCGAAGTGTAGATGTATTAGAGTTAATCTTGGTTATTTGGTATCTGTTTGTAAGAAAAGACTTGATCCGTTGCAAAAGGGAATTTATAATTCCAACTGACTTAAGTCTTTTGATTAGGAGATTATGAGGTAATTTGTCAAAGGCCTTCTTAATATCGAAGTATAGTATAGTAACTAGTTTCTTCTGGTCACGTATGCGAATAACCTCGTTTAAGAACTCTATCAGACATGTACTGCATGACCTTGTTCTAATGAAGCCGTGTTGTGACGGGTCTATTAGATCTTCCTCAAGTTGGTGATCAGATAGTCGATTGTTTATCACTTTTTCCATTATGCGTGATACAGCTGGAATGATATTTATAGGTCTGTAGTTTTCGACCAGGTTTCTCAGCCCGGATTTGTGTTTGGGAAAGACATACGTTACCCTCCAGGTTTTGGGATGTGTACCTGTCTTTAAAGATAATGTGTGTATTTTGAGTGATGGCATCTGTACGTCCGGTCCTGACATTTTATAGAAGATTGTAGGGCTGTCATCGGGGCCAGACTTCGCGTTTGGCTTAAGGGTTTTAATGGCCGTATGTATACTCCTAATGTCGAAGTTTATAGTACTAAGATAATTTTTGCTGATGCACTTTATGTTGATATCTGGAGCATTAGATGTATTCCCATTGTGTTAAACGATTATTATATCATTATTATACTATTATACTGCTATCGGAATTTGCAAATCTACTTAGGACCACACGCTAGATACATCAGAGACCTCGTTCTCACGTCTTTGTCAACAGCGCGTGTCATCTGCACTATTTACGGACGAGACTTAAGTCTGACGTCCAGATCAGCAGACCATGCCACCCATGACTTCGGATGAGACTGCAGCCTCAGAAAGTACGAATGAGACATTTTTTGACGTTGTATACGGTACTCGCTCTCCCTAAACTCGAGTACTACATATAAAAGGCTATCTCCTGCCTAATACAGATAGTGAGCTGACGGAAAAGTTTCAAAGAACTGTAACTAAGCTGATTCCTAGGATAACAAAGCTCCCGTATGATGCTCGACTGGCTTATCTAAACCTGGTTTCATTATCATTATCGAAGGACCAGAAGTGACTTGATCATTGTTTTAAATTACTTAGTGATAAATTTTAATGCGATATGCCCTCATTTTTCTTGAATTAAAAAACAGAGAATTTACAAGGAAACTCTAAAAATGTTTACAAGCTCATAACAAATTACTTTTCGGCTAACTATCGACATTCCCATCGAATCATCAACTAATCAAATTCATTACCGCCAGCTGTCGACACATTCAAAAGAACGTTTGATCAACTGAGAGACCACCATTATCAGGACCAACATAGGCCACATTGCCTGATGTTCTTTCCAAACCGAAATTGAAAACTAAGGGACATAAGTTTACATCTGAACTCTCAACCAGAGAAAATAAAACAATAGATGATGAATCTTGTCAAAAATGCAAGTAAAATTTCTTAAACCAGGAAGCAATTAATTCATCATCTTACTCGAACTTTTGTTGGCTCCTGTGTGAGTATTATGAATTTCACTGAAATGCAGCTTGAGGGGTGAAAATATTTTTCCACATCGATTGCTTTCAAATTACGATGGTTTTCTGTCAACAAAATTCACGGTAAGAAAAGTAAGTGAATGTGGATATATTTGGACCGATGATAAATGCCTACAGTTCGGATCGTAGGAGCTAGAAAGAAACAGAAACAGTAGCACATCGATGATGAGTATCATGCATATGTTTTACACAAATGGTGATAAAGACGGTTGTTATGTGACCGTTATTCTCAATCTTTGATTAGTTACTTGTTACCAGGTGAATATTGTCACGTTCACGAGTTTGCTCGTTCCCGTTGTTCAAGTACGGTACATCGATCTATTTTCAATTTACGAACCCAAATTAACAATAGAACCAAACTTCAATCTAGGTACCAACGTTCATTTGCAATTTACAAAGAGTTCACCCAAATATCGTTCTAACAACAATAATTATAACAATTACAAAACAACCTTGAATTTTGTAGGTTCCCGTAGCAAAAACTCCCAAATACCAAACCACAGACAAAGAGAAGCCAAAATGTCCGAAAATAGTGATATAAACAAACAAGTTCAGAAGTTGAGTGAAATAAATACATCCAAAAGCGCGGTGAAATTAATAATATTTAATATTAGGGTTTTAATCAGTCAAATGTTTTCAGTTCTCCCGTAACAGTATGTCATCTCAGTACATGACTACAATATCTATATAATAATAATAATAATAATTTATTCTCAAATAACAGTTTTTTGCATGAGGTATGCCAGTTGACAGGCAAGATCAAATTGTTTTTCATATGTACATTATCTTTTCCAAAATTCCGTGTATTCTCTAAAAGTTAGTGTATACAAGATTTTATTTAGAAAGAATAAATAAAAATCATACAACAGTCTAACGAATTGATGATGATTGAAATCATTTAAGTTATAAAAATAAATAAACAACGTTATAACTTTCTATTTAAATCATTTTTACTAACAAACTAACAAGGGGAGTTTAATATTTCTGCGTTTACAGTTTATAGTTAATAAACTATTCAACAAACAAAGATCATTTAAACTTACGGTTTAAAAGAACAACGAAGAATAACAAGACAAACGAACCTAAACAACAACCAATTATTCAAATTAGTATGATGAAATAATTGCAACAGATACCAATCGATTATTAGATAATTATGACATGAACGAAACGTGTTCCATTTATATTTCAACAGATTATATATCTCTTAATATTGTTTTAAATTCAGTAATGTTTCTTAAGTGATCATATGACTAAGTTACTTCTCGATTTATCAAAGATAGGTGTTTCTTTTTTTTTAAGAAAAAAGATGTTAACTATTAGACCAATAATCATCAAAATAACAAAAGTGTTCTTATCACGTCGCAAAATTATGATGAAATTCATTGTGAATTTATAAAAAAATTTCAAATGAATTGATTTTGTAAGGCACTTAATGCAATGAAGTTAAAGAACATTGTCTTGGATTTTTTTGAAATGAACCATGATCCTTGGTTTATTTTTTGCAATTCTGATCGCGAATGTGTAGTGGCATTGGACAAAACCACACATTCCTCAAAGCTGAACACTAGACTACTCAGAAAATAGATATTCAATATATAACGCGAAGAAATACCTAACGATGGAGAGAGTGCGAACAAGGAATTGAAATAATTAGAGTTGATCGAATGGCATGGCTTGGCCATGTAGGCGTGGTCCTTGCGGAATGTTACCTTATACCTTTTATTCATATTAAATATATTGCTCTACCTCTAGCCTAAGCTTCTTCTCCATCTTGTTTTGGTAATCGTTACTATGTGGTGAGTTGGTGTAGATGATGATGTAACTTTCACGTAAGATCTTAAAGATTAGGCAGTTATATCACGACAAATCTGCGATTTTAGGATTAGGTTTATTATTAGCACAGTACTAATATCACACTAGACCATAATTCTACAAGTGTACAGTGTTAAAGTATCTGAAAATAAGAACAAACTAGCTACTGGATACTTCAGTGTTTTCGATAATAAATCAAATGATATAATACAGGATTGAAAGTATCCTTTAATACATCAACCTTCAAATACCTCGTACTTTAGTAATAATCTGGTGTTTACCAGTGACTAACTACTATATAGATAAGTCAGATGATCCGACAGGTAGTTATGATCAATGGAGTCCTGAGTTCAGTGTAGTTTGAATTCTCAAATATGGATTGTTATGAACAACTAAGCTAAGTCGAAATGTTACCTTCAAACTTTGCAACCTTAATTCTATGTTAACGCAGAGACAAGTTCAAATGGAATAATGGTACGAATGTACAAAATATTAGTTCATTGACTGACTTGTTTATTCTTATAATTGTTATTTGATATCTGAGACCAGCTGGGTCAGTTATGTTTTATTTAAGTGGTTTCATCCTGTACTGAAAGCTGCAGTGGAAAACAATATTCTTAATCTTGTCCATTCTAAATATTGCTCGTTATCAATTTAATCATGCATATACATGTTGGTATTTTAGGATGAGGATAGTTAGACTGTAGTATGATGATGAAGTTAGTATTCAAGTGGCTCAAGTGGTTGTGGGCGGAAAAGATTAAGTTTTCGCTTAACGGACTTCCGTCTCTTGTAGCACTGGATCACCGATACCTCCAGGCAGGAACCTAGGTATATTAACGATAAAAGAAAAAGAAATTGGTAAATTGTAATAAGATGTTATCCTTAGTCCTTAAGTATAGGTTTAGTTGCCTCTTAGAAGACTCCGGGTAAATCGCTTGGACTAGCTCAGCTGGCAGCGAGTTCAAGCATTTGACCACTCTTAAAGAGTAGAAGTTGTGTCTACAGTCCGTTCAGCTAAGTTGTGTCTCTGGTTTCGGGATGTTACCACATAGGTTTATATTGAAGCTAAACTCAATTAGGCGTTTACGGGGATGTCTAGAAGCGGTAAGGATACTGCTAGCCATTAGGTCACCTCTAAGACTCCTATACTCTGATGGGTAAAGGTCTAGTGATTGGAGGCGCTCTTCATAAGGCTTGAATTTGGGTACCCGAACTGACTTTATGGCTCGCCATTGGATACTCACCAGAGTGTCCTTATCCTTTCGGAGTGGGTGAGGAAATACTATATTCCCGTATTCTAATTGGGGACGAACGATACTGTTGAAGGTTATATGGAAAGTTCTACCGTCAAACTGGCCAGAAATGCGCTTCAATTTATCAGTGCAAGGTTTGCTCGAAAGGCATTTTTGTCACAGTTAGCGTAAGACTTCAAATCGTAGGGTACCAGAACTCCTAAATCTTTTTCAACTTGGGATATTTCTAGAGAGGAGTTTTCTGT